CCACACTGACTAACCCTAATTCTCTGAGACTCACAGAAGGTGATCAGTTCGACTCTTTGATGTAGGCACCTTTTGAGGATCCAGTCGTATCTTCGTTTCGAAGGTGGATCGGTGAGTGAAAGCCCAGACACTCCATGGGACTGTCATATTTACCGATCAGTTGGGGTGGTGCCAGGGGGGTCAATTGATCGGCATATATGCTAGTCCCATTAGTCGTGTCTGGGATATATCATTTGCAGACCGAGTTTCGAGTGCTGCTGAGTTTATCCAACAAAAATCGCCCAGCAAGTTGGGCAGGAACACACATGCACACACACACACACCTACCTATACCTACCCTACCCTACCCTACCTACCTACCTACCTACCTACCTTGTGTTTGCGATGATCCGGTCGAGGGTGATTGAAGAAACATTCACTGTAGTCTTGGAGGGTTCCAGCCGTAGCTTTTGAGAAGGCGGTGGATTTCGTCCCCGGGTGTAGCAGCACATGTTATTATTGCCAAACTCGCCTTCGGAACCTCGTGGAACGTGAAATAGCATGCACTTGGCTACGGAAGACGCGTTTTTGTTATGTTTGCACGCCTCAGATCTATGTTATAGATATTTGAGTTCTCGTGAAGCAGAACCCGTCATGTTCCATGAGCCTTGTGAAATGACACTTGCCTGGGTGGAGTGAACACCTCCTGTTTGGTATTTGAATTTCATGGTCTTTCCAGGGGCCATACCGATCCGTTGGCACGCTTGTGCTTTTTTACACACCGGGAGTTGGTCTCAGGGTGAAAAAGGGGCAACCCTCTTGACATGTGGATTTTCTTGGTCGCTACGTAAGAAGGTACTCGGGTGGAGCCCATCGCTACGTAGGTAGCAGTGGCTTTAACATGTAGAACCCTTTTCGCCGATGGGTGAAGGTCTCCGAACTTCGCACATTGATCGCCATTGCGGTTGGTTGGATGACTGTGCTTTGAGAACACGACACAGGTTGCGTGCCAGAATCTGGTTTTGGAACACCAGGTAGTTTAGTTCATACAAGCTATATTAACATATGACAGAAGATCTATGTGAACAACACCATTCATAGAGCTCTTATTTTCGTTTTTCTCCGATCTGGTTAGAGCGGAGCGTCCCCCGCGTCCCCCGTCGTTCCGCTCAAGGCTCATGGCGTGCCCATGGAGCGATCTGTGAGCGATCCTGCCCGTTGTGGCGTTTGAGAATTTGCGGTTTGAGGTGAGTGGAGGACCATGGACCATGGACTGACCATGGATATATGAAACGAAACATGTGAATTGCTAGATGTGACATGTAAACCATCCTGCCTTGGTGGCATGAACATTCCGCAGGTGTTGCTGTTGGGCACTCCAAATATTTCACGGCGGGAGAGGTTCTACTCTGCAAGGACAGGTTTCTTGGGACCGGATAGCTTGGCCTTTCGATGGCCACGGCGACACCTCGCAAGAGACGCACGGCGACACAGGCGGCACACCCGACACGTCGGTCTTGTGTCGCGGCACAGCGACGCAGCGACACATGGGGGGGGTGATTGGTTGGGGAAGCCCGTCATGAACGATTCCAACGAGGTGTGCTTCGGGCCCCGTGAAACGCCTTCTGCGCGGAGGTTTTTTCGGTCCGACCGGGTCCGGTGAGGGCGAAAAAGGAGTCTTTTGGCCATCTTTGGCATATGAACATATATTAACATACATTAATTTTAAAGGAAGTGGGTGTATTATGATTCCTGAATATATATATATAATACAGTGTATATATATATTCTTGGATGAATGATGCCAATGTATTTCATATGTTGTTTATATATTTGATTCTACTTGGTTATCATTGATTAGGATACTATTTCTGAGGGCTTTGTTTCTAAGAAGCGGCTTCCTGGGTTCCGGGAAAGGACCCGGACGATCAAAGAGCCTCCAGAAAAAATTATGGCGATGGCCTCCAACCTTACTAAGTAGGTGGTTCAGGAACCCTGAACACTCGATTTATTTTGTTGCTGTTCTTTCTTTTTTTTTTACCTGCCTGAACTGGGTGAATCATCTGGCACGGGGAATGTTTCATGTTTCCTTTTTTGGCTTCCTGGACGGCAAATCCCAGACATCCTGAACTCCCTGGGCCAGGATGTCTAAAAGATGTCAGAAGTGCTGGCGACTCCCGGGATGTCCTCTTTTTTGGGGGGGAGTCGATTTGGGCTCATTTGGTTGAAGTGGGAGAGAAGCACCGAGGGGCGAGCCGTAGAAAACGCATAAAACGGGGCGAGCCATATGAGATCGTCATAACCCTAGGGCTCCAAGCACATCCTCAGAAGGTATAGTTACGAAGTTAGATCCCTCAAACCCACCACAACCATTCTCAGGAGGTGGTTGGAGCCCTAGGGTAAGTTGAAGTGGGATCATGATGTCCTGGGGATATCCAAGATCTGCTCACCGTAGCGATAGGAGGGTGGCAGTGGATCCATAGGGATGGATCATGTTCAAGTTTTCTATTGGAAGGGTCCACTGAAAAGCGAGCTGCTGACCTCATCCGAGACGCAGCTGAATGCTTCGAGACGCATCAGCTGACCTCGTTGTACAGAGACTCCCGTCCGCGCGCGAAACGCTGCCGTCCTGCCACGGTTTCGGGTCCGATTCTGAAAGCAACATGTGGCACATGTGTGGCACATCCTCCGCATGGGCCGTTTGGGTTTGCTTCTGGAATCGTTCTGAACTAACTTTCGATCGAGTAGACCTGTGAGGCCTTCAACATTAAGAGATGGGGTTTTGTGACATTCGCGTCGAAGCGGACACAAACATGCTCCCTCCAGACCAGGCTCGCAGAGCACGAGCCCTGGATTTCAAGGGGAAACCAGTAGCTATACACCCTAGATGAATCCACATACCCTGTGAGAAGGTGAATGGAGACACTTTTGTGCACGGGTCCGGTCGTAGCTTCGTTTCGAAGGTGGATCCTGATGGACATCTAGGGACAGAGGGTTTCTTTCTTTCTATGAAGCAAGCTGCAGGCGGTGTTTATGAAGGATCATCATGTGGAATTTTTCATGAAGGATAAGCTGCCACCACCAGTCTCCGCCAGCTCCCCTTGTGCCATCTCGCATGGACAAGGGACACTCGATCAGCTCCCAGAGACTGGTTACGTGACGCGACCAAACAGGTGGTGAAACCACTCCATGACATGGTGGGCAGTTGGAGGGAGGGTATGCCAACACATTCCATCCATTCCGAGGCCACCATGACTCAAAACATACCCTCTCCTGAGTGGAGTCCGGTTAAGCTTCGCCAAGAATCTGGCCCTGCTTGGGCATATGGATGCATAGATGGTCACTCTCCAGTGAGGTGAGGCTGCTTTCCACTCAGAACTCCCGGTGCTTGCTTCCATTCGAACTCCACCTGGCTGCATGTTTGTATTAAGTCAAGTGAGTCAAGTGTGTATAAAAAAGCTGTGAAACCCTGGCAGTTCTTCTTGGCAGCCGCGTTCTGCACAGTGCATGAGCAATACTGAGCAAATCACCGAGAGAGTCGTTTCGAAAAAAGCGGAGAAGAGAGCCATGGTCTGATGAATGGGACTTTCTCGTTGTCCTTCTTCTTGTTGTTGCTGTAGTACAATAGTAGTTGTAGATTGGAAATAGCAGCAAGCAGTAGTATTTGTTGTTGTTGTTGTTGCTGTTGCTGTTGCTGTTGCTGCTGCTGCTGTTGTTGTTGTTGTTGGTTGTTGTTGTTGGTTGTTGTTGGTTGTTGTTGGTTGTTGTTGGTTGTTG